ATCTTGTATGTATTTATATGGGTTTCAATGGCCCATCATTAAAATTAACTCTCCTTTTATAATCTAAATTAATAATTTATTTAAGTTTCATGTGAGATTTTAAGAATCTTTGTAGAGATTTAAATTAATTATATCATCGTGTGGGATAATAAGTCCTTGCAGATATAGTGGTTCTCAATTTTAAAATAAATGATTTTTATAAATATAATATACAATATAGAAAAATTAATTAATCAAATTGATATGTAATTATATTTATTGATTATATCTTTTAGTCATATGAGATTTTTGAATCTTTGTAGACTTTTAAAATAATCGTATTATTATATGAGTTAATAATATTTTACAGATATAACGATTAAGTTTTTAAAATATATAAATAAATTATATATTAAATCAATTAAGCCTAAATGTATTTAAATAAATTTAATTCCTTTATCGTGTGAGATTTTGAAATCTCCATAAATATTTAGGATAATCATATTACCGTACAAGTCAATAAGACTTTGTAGGTATAATGAGTAAGAATCTTTAATATATATATATATATATATATATTTAAATATAAATAAATAAAATAAATTGTTAAATTCTTTTATCGTGTGAAATTTCAGAATCTCCGCAGATATTTAGAACAATCATATTACCGTATGAACCAATAAGGCTCTATAGGTACTGTGATTAAATTTTCAATCATAAAATATAAAAAATAATTTTTAAACTCTTTTCTTTTCTTTATTTCAAAAATTCAAAAATTGAGAAAAATAATTAAAATTAAATTACTTTTTACAATTTAAAACACACATATCAAAATTTCAGAAATTATTTTATTTGCAAAATGATGAATTATTTTTAATTAATTTCTCTTCAAAAAATATTTTCACCAATTATTTTCAAGCCCAAATTATGTAGACTTTGATTTCCATTGCAGGGTACGTAAGCCTCAGAATCTGATTTTGAGTCAAGTCCTTCTTCATAAATAAATAAATATTTCTCACTTAATTCTTATCATTTTTATATCAAACACATGAATATAAAAGGAATAATTAAAATAATTTTAAAATCATATTAATATAGCACAACAAACTTCAAGTAATTATTCTCATGAACGGGTATTGTGGGGTGTCTAACACCTTTTCCACACTTAATCGACTCTCGAACCTATTTTTTATTTTCACATACCATTTTTATCTTCCTTTAAATGATTTTTCAAGATTTTTCTCAAAAATTTTGGTGGCGACTCTCGTTCCAATCGATTCCCACCACAAAGTCCCAAACCTCTACCTGTGCACTGTCCGCATCGCATTTTTTAGGTGCAACATATATATATATATATATATATATTATTTGTATAAATATAAATTAAATATACAGATCATAATACCTTTATCATAATAAGGCAACATCCACCTTTTTCTTATCTTAATAGATTTGCTGTTTTTTTTTCATTCAAAAGTTTTTCAAGGGTTTATATATACCTACACGTATACATATGTGAACGTGCTTCAAAAAATTTATTTTAAATTTAAATTTTACTTTGTAAAAGTAAAAATAAAGAAAAATATATAAATATGATACACAAGGAATTAAATTTAAATTTGACTAGATTCAAAAACTTCTTAAAAAATATTTTTTATAAGATTAAAAATATTATAAAGAGAAAATAATAAATAAAATTAAAACTAAAAAGGTGGGTGTGAAAAGTTATTAGCGACGTTTTGGGAAAAACATATTGGATTTAAGGTGGGTGATATGATTCCTCTTATTTTTCAAAGGCTTCTTTATCCTTACAAATATGGTAATTTACATTCTTGAGACAGACTATTTTATGTCTCTTACAAGCAACTAAACATGAATGAGATGGGAATTGAGACATGATTACCATTTCATGGGCTAAGATTTTTGTAACCAAATGGGACCTAAATTCTAAATCTAGGATGAAGAAACTTCAACCATACTTGAGATGCATATCTACATGCAGAACACTTGCCATTTCTTTTGACACCAATCACACAAAAGTGAACATTGAGACCAGTGACTCCTCCAATTAATTGTTAGTAATTTGTTATGAAAAACCATCCAAACGAAGAATTTGATTCTTTCAGCACTTCTCCACTTGCAAATGAATCTGCATGGTTGCAATTAGCGATTGGAGATTTTTCTTTTTCTTTTTTTAAAGCACTTTTAATAGAAAATTAGCCATTTGCATTTGGTCTGACATGATTGAAAGTCGAAAGAAAGCCTAATTTTTTTGGTAACTTATGAACTTAAGAATCCCTTTCTCAATGTTATGAAAAGGTTTTGGGTTTTACTTAAAAAAAAAAATTGGGTCTCCCTCTTATAGCCCAGTTTACTTTCACACTTTATCTAATCACAATTTCAATTAGATTTATTTCTAGTTGAAAAAAGGTTTGTTTGTTTAATATTAAAAAAATAAGTAATTATTAAATGGTTTAAAAAGTCAATGGCCTTGTAGCCTACATATCATGTATGTTTTTGGCAAGTGAAAGGTTGGAGATTTGATCCTGCTTATAATGTTAAACGAATGGACTATTAGTGCCTCGTATTCTAATTCAAAAAAAAAAAATAGAAATTTATTTTGTATAGATTTTATAAAAAGTGGACATTATTTTATATTTTATTATAATAATAATAAACTAAAATTAGTTAGTTAATTTAGATTTTATGATATTTTCTAAGAGTGCACATGTGTAAGGTTGGGTTGGGCTTCACCCTAACTCGATGAACATAAAAAACAATATACTACATAAAAAAATTAAATGAAATAACATTATGAAATAATTTAATTTTTTTAAAAATAAAGCTTTAAGCTCGGCTTGGCTAGCTTAACTGGCTCAGGCATGACCAAGCCACCTTTTGATTTTTGTCTTGTAAAAATAATTGATTATTTAATTATTTTAAAATTTTATGATATCTTCATGTATCCCATCTTTTTAAAATATTTTTTCTCATTTATTGCATCAAATTATTTTTAAAAGTTACTCAAAGTAGTTTATTAAAGGCCCGTTTATTCAGCTTTTTTTTATGAAAAATCACTTATTTTTTTAAAAATCTATTTTGTAAGTTTTTATGATATTTGTTTAAACTTTTAAAAATAATTAAATTTAAAAAATTATATTTGCTATTATTTAAAGAAGTTAATTTGAGTAGTTTCTAAAAACAATCTAATGCAATATATGAGAGAATATTTTAAAAAGGTGTGATATGCAAAGATATCATAAAATTTTAAAATAATTAAATAATATCATAAAATTTAAAATAGCTAACTAATAATTGCTTTTTATTATTGTAACCAAATATAAGATAATGTATGTTTTCTATAAAAACTTTACAAAATAATGTTTTTTTATAAAATCTCTAAATTATCTAAAAGTCACTTATTTTTTAATTTTTAATAGTCCTAAAATAATCAAAAATTTATTTTTTTAGATTCTAATTATTTTTTAAAATTTTAATAAATATCCAACTCACCAAATAGATTTTTTTAAAAAAATACATGATTTTTTAATAAAATATGATGAAACAAATGGGCCCTAAATCAAACATTATAAAAATATTTAAATATGAATTAGTTAATAATTCTAGATGCTAGATGTTAGATTATTATCACGCAAAATGCACAGCTATATGGTAAATTTGGACTACTAAAAAAAATCTCTTATGGATATGTTTCTAAATATTTTGCCAAGTATTATAATTATCTTATTATCATGGCTGAAGAGTACAATCTCTATTGGTTCATTGAACAGATGTGGGCATGTCTCTGTACTCCATTCGATACATTAATTACTGTCAGCTTTTTTTTCTTCTTTTAAATAATTCTTCATCAAAAGGAAACAGATGTAAAGTGTAAGATGAAGGAAAAATTACGTCGAGGTCTCATATTCAAAATTCATTCATAAATAAGTTTGATAAAATTTAAAACCTATAACTAAATTTGTTAAAACTTAAATGTAATTTGTAATTAAGATATAAAGATAATATTATTCTTGTTAAAATATATTAAATTATATTTTTTAAAAAATATGTATTTGTATTTATAAAATATTAAATGTGATTTATGAATTAAGAATTTTTATTTATAAATTGTGAAGTTATAGTTGTAATTGAATTGTAATTGAATGAAAAATATAAATTTAGTCCATTATTTATATAATATGAAATATGATTTGTAAATTAAAAATTTTTACTTGCAAAGTGTGAAGTTGTTGATATAAATAGAAAGTAAATATGACTTCAGCTTAATATTTATGAAATACAAAACATATCTTGTAAATTAAAAATTTTTACTTGTAAACTATAAAGTTGCAATTATAAATAAAAGGTAAGTATAACTTCATTCTATTGGTATTTTTTGTTTTGTTTTAGTAAGGAGGGGCATAAAAGTCTTTTAACCTAAAAGTTCAATTACATTCGCCACAAATATATGTATGTATGTGAGCTCAAAATATCTAATATGCATATAACATCCAACAACACACTTACCTTTACAATGAGGTTGGCATGCCTATCACATAATTTATTCTTATAATTCATAAATCATATGTAAATATGATATTTTTTTATTTTTTAGATACAAGGCTCAAAAATAAGAAAAAAAATTAATGTTAATAAGTAAGCATGGTTTGAATTGTTGTATTGCCATAGTTTAGGTATTAAATACATGAACAAATTATAAATACTTTGAACATTTCATTTAAATTAAAATCTCATTAACATGATTACCAATTCAAAATATTGTTTTACAAATTATAATACACATTCATATAATCAATATTAGTATTATTAATGAAATTTGAAATAATTAAAAAAGGGAAATTAAAAGGACATCTGATTTTGAAGGACTAGATGAGAACAAAGCACCGGAAGGATTGACATGTCAAGACCTTCTATTTTGGTGGGGCAATATGAAAATATGTCCAATTTTGTTTACGGGTCAAGTTACATTTCTCTGAAGCCTTTATAAATAATTCAATTTGCCCTACTTGACGAGAAGCTCAGCCTCAATTCGCCCGCAGAATTTCAATCTAAGCTCCGACGTGGGCTCAGGTCGTTATAATCACCTCCACCGGCCAGGCCACCGTGAGCCACTGCCGGACGATTTCCCTATCTCTCTTTCGGTTACTGCTCAGTTGGCTCATCGTCGTTTTTTCTTGGTTTGTGACTTTTTCATTGGACGAATACTTTTTTTTTTTTAATTGATTGTGTCTAATTTATTTTGTTTGGCACTTTGGCTTGTGAAATATTTCTCTCTATCAATTTCGATGTTTGCTTCTTTATTGGTGTTGCTTGGCATGGTCGAATGGCTGTTGCTGAAGTGTACTGGATTGATCATGGGAAGTTACTGTTCAATCGAAGAGCGGGTGGGAAAGAGGGGTGCTTCTAACGATCCAGAGGTAGAGGGGGATATAAAGTCGAGATCTTTGAATGTTAATCATTATGAAACTACGAGTTTTGAAAAGTAGAAATTGTCAAAAACCAATATAATTTCAATGATACGTGACGGATTGAAATTAATCTTAATTTTTAGGTATAATAGATCCCAAAGTGAAGAACTCTAGAGAAGAGGCTAAGGTGTCAGGATTTGGGAGAGAAAAAAGCGGGAATAGGTGAAATCCTCAAACATGGGAATAGGAAAAATGGGAAAAATATTTTAACGTGAAGATTTTGAGGTAGACATTAGGAACTAAAAGTGGTTGGGTCGAAAGGGACTCAATACCCTTCCACAAGGTCTTGAGCTTAACCTTAAACCTTTATTCATGCTATGAGAGTTACTTCTCATTTCAAGATTGACAATGCTCCGATTTGGGTTAGTCAATACTACTCAATATCGGGAAGTTATTTATGTAAAGTAATACAGAAATTGTTAGTTAATTTGGGTTAGTCAATACTATCTCTATGCGTGCTTGCTTGCGTGTGTGTGTGTGTATGTAAAATGATACAGAAATAGTTGCTTGAGGACAACTTAGTCGTTTTAAATTACTGGCAGAAGGGAGGAAAAGGGCATAACTTGCCCTATACTAGAAGTTTAGCCTCTTCTCCTCATGGATTAAGTTTCCATATTCTGCTACTTGGGTTTATGTCATTACAATCTTGAGGTCTCAAATGTGATTTTATTGATGGCCAGTTTGGATCTATGACGAATTGATAATTTTATCAATTATTTTTGTATCTCTCTTGTACGCATCTGCTCCCTTATATTTGTTTCTTTATATAATCTGATTTGTTTGAAAATCTTTTGTTATTCAGTTAATTTAAATTTGATGGATACCAATAATTGGGGACCTTCTCAAGGCACTGAACCAACTATGGATACAAATGATTGGAGAGCTCAACTACAACCTGAATCACGCCAAAGAAATGTCAACAAAATGTATGTTTCGGTTCTAATATTCTATTGCTGAGTTGAACTGAATTAGTTTTCCCCCCCACCTTTGTCATGTACCAAACATAGTTATTGACTTTGTCACTCGTGTAGCCCAAGGGTTGCAAAATGCTTAGTGTGAAATCCACAACATTGCATGGGCATTTTCATGTAGTCCTCCATTCTAAAAAATTCAAGAATATATCATAACATAATTGATAATGACTTATATAAACCAAACTCATTAAAAAGGAAAAAAAAGATCATGGTAATGATAAATCACATCAGATACTCTAATCATAAAACACATTGTGTTTAATAATTTATGAGTCTAGCTTTATCTTGTGATGTCTTAATTCTAAACCTAATCCTCTTTTTGGCCGAAAAGGAACCCGTTCCTCTTTATCAAATTGATTATTGCAACAATGATCATCAGGTAATTGCTCAATTTACTTTTCATCTTTAAGGTTTTTGTAAGCTCATCAACCATATCAAAAGCACTAGAGGTGGATTTTATTACCTTTTCTGTCAATTAAGTGGATGTGGATGATGATCAAACATTTTGTTGGCTCCTTAGCTCCATGAGCTAAAGCTACATCATTTCCAAGTCAAATCATCACCTTCAAATACAAGATAATTTTCTTCACTATTTAGTTCATCTACCTTGCCAACCAAAACTGCTTGTTGCTATTATTAATATCTTTCAACATGATTGGGTTGATGGTATTATTAATAATATCTTTTAATTTTATGATATATGATGAGTACTGGAGTGTCCAATTCTGATTGTCTGAGCATGGTTTGACTAATTCTCTAGCGACAGCCTTTGCAAAATCACTTGAAGTAAAGATTGTGTCATTTGCTCTATTTATATATAGAGCCTACTACTACAAAAGGTTGCTTCTGTAGATCAGCAGTGTCGGAGATATATGAGCGTTGCGATCCTGGACATATCATAGCTCCATGAGTCACAGTTTTGATCTACAAGCTATAGCACGTTATTAATATCTGTGAAATAAAAAGGAACAAGAAAATTTTAATGATTGATTCCATAAATGGACAACATTTTTTCGAGGTTCCTTGTGTTTCTGATATCTAAATAACTTTAAGAAAAATAAATAAATGTGTGGTGGAAGAACTAGTATAGACACGTGTTGGCACTTTGTTTAATTGTCTTGTTCATATAAAGCTAGTGACTGAATGAACAATAAAATAACTTCTTCATTGTTTTTCAAACTAATGACTTTTTGTGTGCCACTTCTACCAAACCAATGTTTTCCTATTGATCTTTTCTGAATATTGACTTTCTTGATGTTGTATTCTAAGTTCATACTTAAGCGTTACTGATGGAACCCTCTACTCTATTAAGCTTAAAAATAAGCAAAACCAGAAAATACACTGTAAATGTAACTAACAATTACTATTGCTGAACAATAGAGTGGGATTACAATCAAAATAAAGACTGAAATTACACTGAAATGGCAATTACGGAGCATGAAACAACATAAACTATACCCTCTGAGCAGCAACACGAACACTGGTCTCTCACAAATACAAACCGAAGTAGAAAGATAAAATGATGAAGAAAAGATAATCTTCTCCACCCCTAATTTGGCATTCGAGAGGCCAGAACTCTCCTCACTTGACAACAATTCTCCAATAGTCCCTCCTCATCCCTCATCACAGAAGTACATATTTAAAGAGTCAAAAAGTAGTGACACTACCCATACCCTAGGCTACACCTAACCTGACTTTTCTTTTATTATTTGAATCTTACAGTTATAAACTTCAAATAAACCTCTTGACCACTGGTCTTAGTCTTCTTTAAATCACCTCCCTGCCTAGATTGTCTACTGTAAGCCTTAGGAAATGACAGGAAAGTCTTTGGGAATCACCAGCTCTATCAGTTACCTTTCCAATGGTACCCATGCTTTGTAGGTGACTAAGACCGATCACGATAAAATGAAGCATTGTCAGTAGTTTGTCTCATGACCATTACTACATGTGAAAAAGAAACACATGATTTTGATGTTTGCCTAACATTTGCACCTGCATTCAAATATATTGAAATGATAAAATCTTTGGGTAAAAACTTAATTGTATGATTCATCAGGCCTAGACTGTTGGGTTGTCCTCAGAAGTGGAGGTACTTCCTGTATCATTATTTTACAGGTGGGAAGGAAGAGATCTTTCATTGCAGTATGAGAAGTAAAGGACGTTTACTTGATTAATTTATGATGTAATTTTAACTTGGGTATTAGGGTTTATAATTTGAAGGTTGGATGTTGGGATTTGAGGATGGAGAAAGGGAGCGACTGAACTAAAAAATAACTTTTATTTTAAGCACACACTACAATTTACACCAACAAACTCTTTGTCCCTGTTCTCTTCCTTCCTCACGTCACTCACTCTTACTTCTTCTCTCACTACTCAACTTTTTTGATGCACTACACCTTCATACTTCTCTTAGTTTCTCTTTCTCTCCTCACACTTGCACACTTTTTTCTGTGCAAACTCTCGTTCTTCTCTCCTCACACTCTACCACACACCACAGCATCTGACTTCATCTATTTATAGTGCTAATAGGTCTGTTATCAATGCATTTACAGCCTTCTGGATTTTTCTTATTTGGCACCGCCTTTGTATTGCTTCAGCTAAAGTCTCCAGAGTTTTCTTGATTTCTACAGCCATTGATTGCTTCTCCATCAATCTAGAAAATTCTAGTTGGAGAGAGAGAGAGTTTGTTGATGATATTTTAACATGGGATAATTTCAGACTTAATTGAGGATTTTAATTTAAATTCTTGGCTTGTTGGCAGTGTTCTGTCTTTTGAAGGATTTGGTGTATAGTTTGGAGGGCAATTCTATTATTTTAAAAAGGAAAAACTGTGTATTTGGCTAGTTCTTTTATTTTTTCCCTGGGATATGTCACACATGGATGCTTATAGACATTGGATCAAAAACGATGATTAAAAGATTTCATTTCCTTCCATTTGTAGAATGGAAACATTGAAAAGGCATCTTCCATGTTCTGGTGAAGAGGGAATACGTGAGCTTCGAATGATTGCTCAAAGGTTTGAAGAGAAGATTTATACTGCTGCAACTAGCCAGGTAAATTCACAATGAGGAGTATCACTGATTTCATTACATTTATGTTTATCTTCGCAAACATGGTTGATATACAAGATTGATGATATTACATGGTACTCACTAATTGCAGCCTGATTATCTACGGAAAATATCTTTGAAGATGCTTACAATGGAGAATAAATCCCAGAACAACATAAACAACCCTATGCCATCAAACCCAGGTGGCCCCAGTAATCAACCTCCTGATAAAGGTTAGGTTCTAGAGCCTTGGCTTGGGCATGATATTATTAAGTGGTTCCAAAGCCTATATATGACATGTATGTGCACATATAAAGGCATTTGAATGGATGTTTCCATTCTGTTCTTTTAGTAATTTTCCATGTGAGATTCAACAAAGTCTTATATTAACTGTTGAGGACTTAGCACAACTCTCCTCCTTTATTTGGGCTTGGGATTGGCTGTAAACATAGGTGGAGTTAATCCATATAGTCAATCTCACCTAATAGGATAAGGTTTTTTGTTATTGTTGTTCTTTTTGTAATTTTGGCTGTTTGAGTTCTGTCATCATTTTTAGTTATAATCCTTTGTGCATGTGCAATTCTAGACCTAATGTAAAAGTGATAATGGATGCTATCAATGATAACTTGCGCACATGGAGATAAATTTCTATTAGCTTTGTAGTTTATATGTAGAGAATCTTGTGTATTATTGCTCAAGATATCATTAATATATGGAGTTCCATTGGCTCTGCACCAAATCCTTGTCCTTTCTCTTTCTTCATTTCTTTATTATTTTCTTAAAAACTTTATGCTGTTGAAATTTTAAACTTAAAAGTTTACATTGACTTCATTTAAGCATTGATGAAATTTAAGTTGTTTCCTGTTTTGGCTTATTGATTTTGATTGATATTCACTCTATACTTAGGTCACTTTCTTTGAAATTGAATCCTCTATAGGCATGCAATCTTATAGTTGGAGAGAGAGTGATATAAAATGGTGTAAACGTATGTGGGATTCACTTTCTTTCTACACCCATTATCTCTTTTCCCTGCATCTCTCTTTAACTGCACTATATGCAGAGGAATTAGGTGGTCATATATTTGAACAGGATTAACTCAGCCCCAAGTTCAAAATCCAGGGCAGTCGCATGCAATGCCTTTGCCTAATCAGCCACAATCACGTCAACAGATTCTATCTCAAAATATTCAAAATAACATCACACCACATTATATATAATATTATATAATATTATATATATATATATAAAATAAATATATAATATGTTAATAAAATGATGCACTATGACAGTTGATAAGGCACATTATTTACACATTTTATTCAATTATTTAGGAGTTATTTTACATGTTATATTTCTTACTTTGATGCATTCATAGTTTTAAAAGTAAGAAAATTATTTAAAGAACAAAGTTGTGCATTAAAAGCATTTTGGTTCAAAAATTAAACTTTTGAGAAATGTATAAGAAAATTAATTCAAATGTGTTGATACCCAGGAGAATGAATATAAAATGAAATTTTGAAAATTCAATGTGGTTTGAGAAATATAAATTAAAATTATAAAATTAATGTTGTTGACTTTGTTGACCTAATTAGGGTTTTGTGCATGCATGGTTTTACATGGGCAGCCCTTAAAATAAATTGTATTATTTTTCTCCCATCTAAATGATTAATTTCATGTTACTAAATATAAATTATTATGTCACATGCATTTATTTGATTAATTTTATTTATTATGTGACGTTGATGACACATGTGTATTTAGACTTGTATCAATTGGTCAAGAAAGTGTAAGAAGGGTATTTTGGGCATGGCTTGCTAAATGGCTAAGAAGATGAGGGGGATCAGATTTTTTAAGTGCAAAGTATGAGAATATTCATATTAGCATATGAGTTATTATTTAACCAACGAGAAGGTATCCCCTAAGGGCATGTGCATAAAGTATGAAACTTTTCCTTTGATTTTAATTTATTTTTTAATTAATTTTGTAGGCTAATCTGGTCCCAAAAACACGCATCATCAACTTCTAAAAAGACAATTCAGATTCAAATACTTAACTCATTCACCAAATTTTACTTTCTCTTGTCTTCTTTCTATAGTTTATCTTATTCTTTTTTTTTTTTTCATTGTTCATTATTTTCTAGCACCCTAACTTAAGCTATCAAATTTTCACAAAACCTACATCATTCTTCATCCCTTACCTAGCTCGTCTATTCCCTTCCACTCTTACAGGGATCTAAGCTCATCTTCCTCATTCAAGCTTACTATGAAGTTTAGCCAGTCAAAGAAGTCCTAGGTTTCTTGAAGATGGCGATGGTTGGTTAAATTTCTTAGTGAAATTCTAAAGAGATAAAGATAGAGGATGAATCTATAACTTCATTTGGCCAAGTTTTGCTTGTTTCCTATTATCTTTTACTTGATGGTTAAACGTCTTACTCTAGAGTTTGGTTTTTATTGCTTTTAAATTCTAATGTAAGTTTGATCTTTATGCAAAGAGAAAATGATTGTGAGGTTAATTTCTCTCTTTGGATGTCATGAACTAATTCGGCCACTCCTTATTAGACACATAATTTTGTGTTTTTTATTTAGTGAAATATATATGTTGATATTGTATAATCTTATGATGTTGAGTAGTTTGACATAATTTATGGTTGTTCATCTCATTGCTTGACTGTAGCACTTGAGGAAGAAACTTTAATTGAAACACTTGGTAATCTTTGCACTAGTTGGTTAAATGAACCAGGTACTTTAATGCAAAACTTAAAAAATTTAGCTAATTATGTTAGTTAGGTTAGGATAATCTTCTTAAATAAAGACAACTTTGTTCAAGAAGAAAGAGGAGTTGAATTTAACTTAACCACAAGAGGATAATGATTCTAAAGTCAACTAATTTTTAAGGTTTCGCATTCTCAAAAAGGGAATTCCACACCTTTTACTTAGCTAGCAATTTTAATTACTTATCAAGTAGGTAATTAAGTAATCAAACTTTGAACACATTGAATCATTTATTTCATTAGATAGTCTCTTACTTGAATACAAACCATTCATTAGGAGATGACCTAGGTTGGTCTTATACTACATTAATATTAATTCTAGTTTTTATTTTGAGGGTTAAGGGATTACACCGGTCAACAGTAAATTAATAATATTATAAATTATAATTTTGTACCTTGTTAAATATAGGTTAATTTTGATTAAATTAGATTTGAGTAGACTTAAAAGTACATATATTTGCACCTATAACTATCAATAACTTTATAAAAAAAGGGACTCGGATAATATCTTATATATATTAATTATCAAAAAATAAAATTAGCTTTTAATGTGGATCTAATTTTTAAATTTTTTAAAATTTTTAAGATTTTTTAATATTATATTTAAAATCATCCGATTTCTTGAAAATTGCTTCGATTCTTGATTCAACATCAATTTTTGGCTTGCTAATAACTCAACTATAGTTTAATCTGGTTCAACCACTAAAATAGTTTTTTTTAATCCAAACTGAGTTGTTAATGGCTCTGGTCAATGGTTCAACCAATCCTACCATCATGTTTTATCCGATTTTTCAGACACTACTTTTAAATATAATTGATAATTTTTTAAAAAATATTGTTAATTAAAAAGGTGTAATTATTAATATCTTCTAATTTTTCAATTGAGATATCCATTAAATAAGGGAAAACATGACCCACGTTCGTTAATCCTATTGGCCATTTAGGTAGTACTTGGAAGTTATTTTTGGATGGAATGAAATGGAGTGAAATTGCGAAAAGTTTTATACGATTGTTTTGTTGGATTTTTTTTTTTAAATGTAATAAAATGGTTTGGAATAACATTACAAGCTATCTTTAGTTTTCATATATTCATTTTTTTAACCCCTAATTTGGAAGAGTACAAATAAAATGACATGATATAAATAATATTATTATAAATGACCTTCATCCTTTTTTTCCCTCTAACTATTTCACTCCTCTCAACGTAATGTTGTGCTTGGCTCACATGAAAAAACAAGGATAGGAGAAAATTAAAGGAGAGAAAAGTGGAGAGATATAATTTTTTCTTCCTATACTTGGTTGATTGAGAGATAATGGGAGGAAGGAAAAACGATTAATTTCATATATACAATAATAACTTTATTATTTGTTGAAAAATACTTACATGCAATAAAATTTAATAGTTTAGCATATTATATATATAATGTCAATTTTTATTTTTTAAAATTATTAAATATAAAATAATCTAAATTTTAAAGTGAAAGGAAAAGTAGGATGAAATAGAGGGAGGCAACAGACAGAAAATAAAAATTATTCCTTATTTTACTAAAATTCTCAAACAATAAAATATTCCATTATATTTTACTTTGTCACTCTTCACCCTATTTCATTCGATTAATAATTGTTTATTTTTGCTTCATTGTATACTCTCAAACATATTCTTAAGCACTAATCTTAAATTCAATTCCATGTAAATGTTAAAAAGCCCTTAATATCATGAATATCTTATGATTATATGATTCGATGCTTGTAACTCATAATATTGAGGATTCTTCATTTTCTATAATCTTCCAATGAATGACTTTGAAGGAGTTTCACATAATTAATATCTTATAACCTCTAGAGACTTCATTGTATGAGAAATATTTATGTAGATCGGGTACACTACATCATTTGTAGTCTATCTAATTAAAATGCTTCAATCAATCTAAATAAAACCTTGCGTGATGCTTTTTAAATTGATTTTTTTTATAACAAAATATACATTTGATTTCTTGCTTTTTCTTTACTATCGTTGACATCAAAATTAATTTATATTTAATGGTATCTAAACGTCATGTTTTTATTAGATAGATCACAAACAATGTGATGTACCCGGTTGACCTAAGTATTTCTCTCATAACATACTATTATGTCCTTCCTTATTCATCCATAACATTAACATTATACTTTAATAGCTGAAGGCTTATAAATGGAGGTTATGTATAAAACATTATGCACCCAAGTGAATAAAATATACTCCATTATTTTCTCGTCAAAATTTTAGCCTGGAATTGCGTAAGGTTTTGTAAAATAATTATGATTGTTATTTGAGAGGTATCAAGTATGTTAACAGTAGAAATTAACCTGGAGTTGCAATATTTAAGTTTTTTTTAATTAATAATGTTCTAATTAGCATCTTGCAATGTATATTAAAGTGAACGAAGTCTGAATAAAGCGCTCCAATAAATTTGAATAGTACACAACATATTATTTGTCATCAACAAATAATAAAAAGATCAAATATTTTTTTTATTATTTACTAAAAAGGAAATCACTTTAAGCTCCCCCACCTCTTCAGTAAGAGGCGTAATTGATGAAAGTTTTCATTATGTAAATCCAATCATTTGTTATCATTATTAATTTATGAATGCATGCTTTCTAATAAAAAAAATCACTTTAAGCGAGCTATAAACCCAATCTCTTAGTTTACACCAAGGCTTTGTTAGAGCTTATTTGCATTAACATTTGTAGAACTAAATTTTGTACAAACTACGATTAGTAAACTAAAGTTGGGATAAAAGTCAAATTTTACAACATAATTTATGTTTTGATAAAGTTATGTAAAAAGTCAATTTAACAAATTGAAACTTGTTTAGATAATATAAGTAAATGGAATCTGTATAACAAATGCCATATATGAGCAGATGATTAACCATCAAAGGGGAAAGAGAAAATTGCAGAGAAGTATATCATCTTATGATTTTTGTTTTAGCAAACAACAGCATTTTACTTGATTAAAGGAACGAATGTGACTATAGGGAAATAAACTAATTTTCCCTTTCCCATGATACAAGTCATAGACATTATAAATGTAATTGCAACCTTTTAACTTAATCTAATTTTTGAACTTCAATGCAGATTTACATGGTCATTGGCAAAATTTCCTTGTGTTTTTACTTTTTAGAAGTACTATCTGCTACCCGACTCTGCACATGTTTATTTGGTGCTCAAATAAAATTAGATTTTCCTTGCATAAGCAGTGATGTGTGCGAGGAATAGTTATGTTGGAAGGTCGTTTAATATTGCATGGCAAAATTTTTCAGAGACCTGAAAAAACTTGAAAAGAAAATTCAAGGGGAAAATAATAGTGGTCAGTCAAGCAGCTTTACTTTGCATTATCTTATTTCTGATGAACATCTTCGAGGATTGTCATGCATTATTAGAGATCATTCATCATCGGTTCCTTGTTATAATTCAGCTGTTATTCACTATACTGTGTTTGTTCTAATTTCCTTCTATTCTCGTGTTTCCTAATTCTTTTTGGTATCTTGTAGCATTTCAGTTTATTTTCTGATAAAGAAAAATCCAATGTTTGAGTTGGTTCATTTTACAGGAGAAAAAAAAAGATTCTTTTTTCATTAAATTTCCATCAAGCATGAGATTCATTTTGCAGGAGCTCTAAAATAAATAATGAAAAAGAGAATTTGTAAGATAGTCATAAGCAGATAATTTCTCTGAGCTAATTACGGGGCTGGCCTGAGAAGATGGGTAACATGAAAAATAACAACATACAAATAAATAATTTAGAATGTCAGAATTACACAACAACGTGCGGGGATGGCTCAGTTGGGAGAGCGTCAGACTGAAGATCTGAAGGTCGCGTGTTCGATCCACGCTCACCGCATTTATTATTTATTTATTTGCTATGCAATTGGGGCTGACCTTTTGGGCTCCCTTACAAGGGCTTTTTGCCATTATGGATTTGGGCTGTATATTTGTCCTCATTAGCTGAAGGCCCATGTGAGGGATGCCGCGATATTATCAAGTACTATTTATTATCCAAATAGTACTTTATGCATCAATGGAAAATTCTTTATCCAAATAATCTTTTTTTTTTGGGCCAAGACTCTAAAGTCTCATATGATCAATGAAGAGTTGGCCCAAAAAAAAAAAGATCAATCAAGAGTCAAGACAGTGACATTAATAATGGTCACTTTATGTACTGTTTCAAGTGTGCTCCCATCTATCCCACGTATCCAACAGAAAAAAGAAAGGAAAGTGAAACACATTTTTATTTGAAAGAATTACAATCAGATCTTATATAAAAAAATTAATTATTATAAAATTTATTACAATTAAACTAAACTGTATTAATAACTGATTTTATTATCAATATAATTTATTTCAGTTATTAATAAATTCTATAATAATTAATTTTTTTATGTAAGACTTTAATATAATTCTCCCCTTTTATTTCTTCAGCCTGTTAGCACTGGGTATACGGGTTGCGGGCTAGCCCGCGGGTTAGCCCGCGCGGGCTGACTCTTTTTGCTGGTTGGGTTGGGCCAGCCCGCAAATTTAAACGGGCTAAAAAACTCAACCCAGCCCATTTTATTGTGGGCTAGCCAACCCGCGGGCTAGCCCGCATAAATACGCTAAATTTTTTTTTTGCATGAATATTAAATTCAAACTAACAAGCATCTAAAATTACAATCATCCTCACTCATTTAAATTGTTTAACAATTATTAATCAACACTTCTTAAGTGTAAAGAAAGTCCACTCAAATGAAACAACTAATTAACAATTCACTTAAGACAATGCTTAAATTAAAACAACTCATATTAAATTCAACTTCACCC